GTGGGGTACTTTCGTGTGATGACGGGGCTCGGAAGTTCCGCAAGCTCGATTCCCTCCTTCAAGAGATGGTTGATCAGGTCATTCGTGACCAATGCGAGTCGAAGAAAGACATGCCGCCGCTGAGCATTGACGCTTTTCTCACCAAGCTGCACACGACACATTCGCATTTGCAGAAGGCAGTTCTCACAGAGTTGACATGCTCAGAAAATGTTTGGAAATGTACCCTGACAAGGATCGCCCAGCTTCTGCGCAAACCGAATAGTTGATTTGTTCCGGCACACAGCCCATTTCAGCCTCCATGATGCTTGAAAAGGTTTTGCGCAGCAGTCGTTTCGCTGAAGTGCTGGGCCATGCGCACGAGTCGCGGTACTGTAGAAGTGCAGATTAGCCTGCAAGTCAGTTGTGCACTGTCTCGCAGGCCATGTGCACAGCACGACGCAAGGAGTCACAAAATTGGTTTGCAGCCTCCATCTTGTATGGCTAGCCGCTAGATGCTCATGCTTCAGTCCTTCCAGCTCTGCTGGTGTGATGGCTGCATCAGCCTTCGTTCATGTTTTATCTGCTTGCACGCGATCCTGTCGCAAGGTCAAAGGTTTCTTTCCAGCGACGTGCACAAGCCCCGGAGCGTGCGAAGAGGAGTGATCGTCAGCGCAACAATTTGGTCTGATGGTTCTGAAGATGTAAGGAATCTTATGGTAGGCGTAAATTGTACTTGAGGCGGATGGCGATGAATAAGTGACGAACCTGTTGACCATGATGGCCATGATGGTCGCCATGATTGTGGTGATGGCAGGCTTGCAAACGCAGCACTGTTGGCCACTATCTTTGTAGCAAGAGACAAGAGCCGGAGGGTGATAACAGTGTCGAATTTCAAAAGCACTGGTGTTAATGATCAAGACAGCGGCGATCACAGAGATGAAGTCAGGACCACAATTCCGACCGAGATAAGGGTGCGACGGTAGATGAGATTTCGAGCTGATGGTGTTGATGAGGTCCATTGTTCTTACTGGCGGTTAGTACCACAGCTGCAGTCGTACTCGCCTTAGTGGCTGTTGTCATCGCGGGTTCCAGTCGCTTCGACATTTATACTTGGCACGAAGAAGAGAAAGCGAGCCTCACTCGATGCTTGTGTGCGTGGCCCGATTTGCAAAGCTGCACGTTGCAATGCATGTGCATGTTCATCATCCTTCGAAGTGCGATCTGCAGGCATGAGAGGTATTGCGGGGTGTCGCCTTGCGCGGCGCGGGTTGTGTGTTCCGCCAGCAAAGCGTCAATCTGCCGTGCATTCGTGCCGGAAGAGGCACGGTTGCTTTCCTGGTAACTCGAAGAGCCGGAACAGCGAGAAGTAGCGATATTTGTCGAGCACCATCCTTACCACAAACTTGCCCGTCAGGAGCAGCTCCAAGCAGAACGCAAAGCCACGAGCAACTGCTCTTCCTGTGTGACTCAGAGCCCATTATCATGTCGGTGGGAGAGGTGGATCTTCGGGTGTGATGCATGAGGGTATAGCTTCGGATTGAGCAGTGGCTGACCATAGAAAGGAGGAGCGTTGCTAGTACGATTATGATTATAAACAGGATGATTGTCATTGCCTTTTTGTGATTTTCGGCTAAATTCTAGGCTGATCAGGGCATCTGTCGTTCCCAGGCGGCCACGCTACACGATGCTCCGGGCCTTGGACGACGAGGGCTTAGCAGGACAGCAGAAGTTGGCGGGGGGTGTAGGCCAGTGTAGGGTTTCTAGGGTTGAAAGGTGTTTTGAGGTTTTGGGGCTGTGTGCTCAGACCTGCAGGCGATTGCGCAAGCGCAAGTCCTGATGAAAAAAAGAGTTTAGAGTTTAGTGGCTTTTGCCACCTCACTGTCCAGGCTTGGAGACAGTGGGCGTGCAAGACGTGCGCAGGGTGCGCGAAGATCTACTTAAGCTCCAATTCCGTCGGTGGGGGGCTCAGCAGGAGTTCAGCCTCTTGAAACAGGATAGCTTTCGCATGCGCCTGTCATGCAGAGAAGCTTGGGCAGCAGCACATGTAGATAGCTCAGCAAAAGAATCCTTATCATCCTATGTCATATCCATGGCATAACTCGTCTTGTCAGCCGGTGCATGCTGCTGACCGTGCTGGTGGCATCCTACATCTCCTGCAAGACAGAGTTCGTCTGCGCCAGGCTGGACGCCAAGAGCGAAGGATGCTTGCGTGCCTCGGCTGGGTTGGCACATCTGGTGCTCAAAGCTATCAGAAGGCCAAGGATGCAGGGTGGTGGTTGCGGGTTTGGGGCTTGGGTTTAAGCTCCCAGCAATGTAGATCTGTAGATTCCCTGTAGATGCTTGGAAGTGTGAACAGGTGCCCATGTCTTGACGCAGCTGGGAGCACGCTTCGGAGAGACTCTCCTCGAGACCGATGTGGCACGCTTGTGCCGCGGATGAACTTAGCTGCTTGGAGCTGATCTTGAGCCTGTACCTGTACGGGGCAGATGGGGACAGAGATTTGCTACTTAAGACAAGTCTTGCCATTCCAGTTGCGCCGTATCTTCTCGGAATTGGTGCTCCTTCGCCCTTAGCATACGATCTTTCTTGCAACTGTTCGGCGTTATTCGTGTTCTGCTTCCTCTCGTCATTTTCAGGTGCCGGCAGATTGAGGCCAAGGGCTCCTCGCCCACCTCGCCTGCCAGGTGGGCTGTTCTGGAAGCCCAGGGTGTTGTGGGGCTTCGAGTCTTTGGAGCTTTAGGAACCTCCGCTTTTTCTTGCTTTCACTTTGTGGCTTCACGCTCGATGGAAAGGCTTTCGTCTTCTTGGTGTAGGACAGAAGCAATGATCGGAGGGCGGTCCGGATGCGGCCCGGTCCGACAGCCTTTTGCTTTTGCTGGGCTGACCTCCCGTGCTCGGAGGTCCAGTCCGGGGGTCGACTTTGAGGGCTTCTGCTCCTTGATGTCGCCCGAGGAGGAGGAAGAGCGCATCGATCGAATAGTCACAGAAACGGAGAAACTTCGAGTCAGATCTGGATCTCACGAAGCTAAGGGAGCTGATGGAAGACTCGGTGGCTTAGCTGCGCAGAGCCGTCCGACTCGTGGTCTAGACATCCTTGTCACTTGTGCCCCTGTGAGGCTCAAGAGACCCTCGCCGCCGTCAGGCATTCAGCATACTCCAAGAGAGAGAATGCAGTTCCTGGGAGCCAGGCGGGCGGTCCGAGCAGAAGCCAAAGAGAAGCTCCAAGGCGAGCAGGCTCTCAGCAACACACGCGGACCGCGCGGACTTCTGGATGTTTTGTTTCTTGTCTGCAGGACCGGAAGCTTCAAACGAATGCGCACCGGATGAGAGGCATCTGCGCTTCTGGGCTGCCTCTGGTCTCAACAGACACAGCGTGAGGGTGGTGACTCCCAGGCTGTGTTCTTCGACGTCGTCTCGGTGGGCCCCTGGGATGTGACATTCAGCCTGAAGGAAGTGAGAAAGATGCCCAGGTCCTGGTGATTATCGCTAATGCCCTGGTCATGGGCTTCAGCACCGACGTGTCACCTACGAGCTCCGGATGGGATGTGGCAGAACTAGCGCCTTGGCATTCTCCCCCCAAAAAGAGGTGCATGCTGATCCTTCTTGTCTTTGCTGTCGCACGTGGTGGTGAGGGCTTCTTTGCATACTACACCCTGGAGTACGTGATCAAGCTGCGGCTACAGGGTTGCTTTGGATATTACTTCGGTTTCGGCCTCAGAAGAACAAGCAGCTCCGGCATCACTTGCGTGTCCTGCATACTCCATGCAAACTCAGGTGAGGAGGCTGCATGGAACTGGTTCGACAATGCCTGTTTAGTCGTATCTTTTGTCGTTACCTGGCTTATGTTACATGAAACGGTTTTTCATGGCGAAGAGGGGAGCATCGATGGGCGCAGTCCCATGTTGGAGTTCCTCGCGCAGGAACTTCTCGTGACCTACATTGCGGACCCCACGCAGGATGGGCAAGGAGGCGTCGCGTGATGGCCTTCGCGTCCGAAGTGCTTTGCCGCACATGTTGCTTAGAGGATTTGTGCGCGTAGTGTCGGCTATTGCCCGGATCTGGAGTACACGGAGAGCAAGCTGCGGCACTGCAAGACAGCAAGATTATGTTTATATTTCGCGAAGTGTTCACTAGTACCCTCGTATCTCCGATCACTTCGTGATGCGTCTGCGATACGTAACAACAAAGCTTTCAAGTTTTCGTGCTCCGCAGGCTTCATGTTGATGCGGATGCGGGGTCCTCGGGGAAAAGAGGCCTCATGTTCATGTCGATGAGTTTTTGTGCTTTGGTCGCATGCTCTCAGGCTACGTCTTGCCAGACTTGCTCGCCTGGTGCCATGGCCGCAGTAGCTCAGCGGCCCCTCGGCCGGTCCGGGTACGGACACTCCTGCGAGTCGTCGCAGGTCAGGCTGATGCGTTTCCGCATGTTTCGAGAGCTGAAGCTGATGGTGCTGGGCCTTTTCTCTGGGCTCCGTGCCCTCTGCGCCTCGGCTCTGTGCGATCTTTGCAGCCGTCTTTGCGGGGTTCTGTTGCTTCCTTGCTAGGCTGGGCGATTGTGCTGCTGATGCCTCGGCCTCGGCGGCTTCTGATCGAAAGCCCAGTGTCCGTGTGGAAAATCACTTGCTCCCAAGGTTCATCATCTATACGATTGGGGTTCTCATGCGGCCAGAGCCACGGTATCGGGCTTGTCTTCGGCACTGAGAGCCAGAGAGCTAAGATGGGCTGAGGCTAGTGAGTGATGTCGAGGACACCGGCTTGGGGAACTTTAGGACGGGATTCCCTGGGTCCCAGACTGGCTGTCACTGGCTGTGTGGCATTGCCCCTACATCCCGTTTACAGCGCTTGCTGTGTGG